CTCGAGCCCGATATATAAATTATATCAATAACAAGTTAAATTCAAAGAAACCATTAATTACTAACCCCATTCCTGTTACTATTGATGAAGAACAAATACAATCAGCAGAAAGTTCAATGAAGAAGGAAGAGCTGATATTGGTAATCGAGTCATTAATTGGAACTTTAAATGATGCTAATAAGCCACAATTTAAAGGGTTAAAGTCTAAAAGAAAAGATGAATTATTAGTTATTCTACAACAAGTTCGAAATTTAACTAATAATGATGAAACGGATTGAAAAAAAAACTAAAAAAAAAATTAAAACGTTAGGATTATTAGCTATTTTCTTTCTAGTGGATAAACATAAATATTAAATAGAATGTTATCTTATGAGCAAAGCTCTTTTGTCTATATTAAAGTTTTTTTTGTTTATCCTTAGTAAACGATTCGAATCTCTGAATTCGATATTAATTCCATGTTTCTAACTTTATTGAGTATTCAACAACTAATATATATTAATAATATAGAATCAATATAGAACTAAATTATTTATATGAAAACTTACCTGAATTATTATCGAGATATTGTATCAAGTGTTCCTTAGATGAAATTAGGCAGATTAAAATTTTTTTAAAAAAATAATACCCTAGCTTTAAAAGCTTATATCTCGATGAATTTTAAAGCTATTTTAATGATTTAAAAGTAAAAATAAAGTTTAAAACTTGAGCTTTATTTTTACTTTTAAATTATTAAAATAACTTCAGAATTCATCGAGATATAAGCTTTTGAAGTTAGGGTATTATTTTTTTTTAAAAAATGTTAATCTGCCTGATTTCTATTGACGGCAGCCCATATGATAAAGACTTTGAAGCTCTAAATGGGATATTTAATCTGACGACTAAATCTCAAAGATTGATAGCCAACAGAAAAACAGCTTGATGAAAATATAGATACTATTAGTTACTTAATATTTGAGAATGCTAAAAACATATTTGTTGACATTTCGACTTACCTCTTGCATTATTAAAATTCTTTGATGTCTTATGTTTAATCTAGAGCTTCAATCCATAATCCGACTTCTGGATTGATCCTTAAATCAAGATATCCAAATCAGAGATGTTTACTCAGATTGGTCAAAGAACTTAAATAACGGACCTAAGGATGTACCCAAAAGCTAGCTTTAATATATAATCTGAAACGGATTCAATTTGGATGGTCTGTCAGAAATAGGATCGAAGCA